TCTCTCTCTCTCTCTCTCTCTCTCTCTCTCTCTCTCTCTCTCTCTCTCTCTCTGTATGTGCATGTGTGTATGTTTCTGTCTCTCTGTCTCTCCCCTCTTCTCCCTCCCTCCTTCTTTCTTTCTCTCCTCCCTCTTTCCCCTCCCTCTCTTCCCCTTCTCCCCATCTCCCTTTCTCCCTCTTGCCCCCTTGCTCCCTCCTTTCTCTCTCTTCCCACATGGTCCCCTTTCTGTTCTCAGCCCTCATGGCTCATGGCTCTGCTCCCATCTGTCTGCCTCTACCCCTTCTCTAGGCCCTCACTCCCTCCCCTTCCTCCAAATAAGCCTCCTTCATACCAAGTCTGTGACATAGCCTGATTTCTCAGGGAGGCACGTTGGTATGGGCCCCCGCCAGGTGTCCCCACCCACCCACCCCTCCAGGCCACCACATGGGTCTTTTGTCACAGCAACAAGGTAAGTATATGTCACAAAAAAGTAGTACCAAAAGTGTGGTTATTGCCGTGATTAACCTGACCTTGAAGGTCTTTGAAACTTTGAGGGAGACATGTGGAAGAGTTTGGAACTTAAAAAAAAAAAATCCAGAATCTCTGGAATGCTGTAAGCTGAGCTCCATGGGCCAGGCTTGTGGGACTTTAGAGAATGCAGAGAAAAATCATGTTTCAGAGGGAACAAAGGCTCTCAGGACCTAGGCTAGCGGCCATTGGTGTTCTACTCCAACTACTCCAACAACAGTTTGGCTTCGCTCTGCCCATCCCTTCAAGTTTATATTAGGCTGAATTCAAAAGCAACAGACTAATGTTTTTTTTTAATTAATTAATTAATCAATTTTTTCAAATCATAATTTTTTACTTGTTCACACAGGGGTTATAAACACAAAAAGGCAGGATGTGGGGAAGGGGATGACACTGGAGCGTGGATGTTCAGGGGAAATACAGATATCTTTCAGAACAGGGTATCGGCTGGGTGAGGGTTCAGGGAACAGGTCGCTATGACTCTGCCTATGA